GCCAAGTCAAGGCGGCTTCGCTTCCGTTGCAGGCAGGCTGGGATGTTTGCCTGAGCTGTTTGAGTCCTTCAGAAAGAGAAATAATTTTGTCAAACAGTTCGCTTTGTTGCTTGTGACGTGTCGACGTATCCTTAGAGATTATAGTTCCGCTGATGTTCGCGTGGTCGGAGCTCTGTCTGGTTATAAACCGCTTTACAAGTAAAGCGCAGGGAAGCCATAGCGTTGCTTGGCGTATGGATTTATCCTGCTTTTTATTTAACCACCTGCTTGCCAGTCGCAACTCTGCGAGTTGCTCAAGGCTTAGACTGAGTGATTTTGAATATTGAGTCTTGGTCTACAAACAGGGTCGCTGAAAATCTTTGTATTTGAACAAGGGAAAGCAAGGGAAAAGGAGTCCTTTGCCCTGCCAGAGCTGTATTTCCAGCTTGAAGATAAACAGCTCCAGTTTTTGTTGTCACAAATCCCGTAGCACTGGAGTTTAGAAGAGTCATTGGTGGAAGAGGGAAATAAAACAGCCTGTCAGCTGCTGGAGATAGAAAATAAATCAGTTGAGCTGAAACAAGGAGACTGTTCTTGATGAATCCTGCTGTGCTGATGGTACAACACATTTCTATCACTTTTGTATAAATATTTTTTGGAGGAGCGGGGCTGCAATTTGGCACTAGAGGAGGTATTTGGGTATGGTATGCCCTTCCCAATCTATATTGCATGTGTAGTTTTTGGGAGAGGGTACGATAATTCGCTGAGTGGTTTGCTGTGGCGTTCTCGGACTGGGAAAACATACTGTGATTATTAGTTTGAGTTTTGGGGTGACAGGGTGGAAATTTGAGTGAAAAAAGGGAAAAGCACACAAATCATTCTATGATTCTGTATCCCAAGGTGACTGATCACTGCTTTTGCTTTGCAATCCTCCACGCTGTACTGTAACACAGTGTTTCATTCGGGGACAGCCATGCAGGGCCATCTTCGTAGCCTTAGCACCCCTCTCAATAATTTCCTAAACCTGTCTTTTCTTTTTCCTTGTACAGGGCCTACGCTGAAGACTCATCCTCCGTAAAACACGATCCGAGGACGGAGCCGAGCGAGAAGGTGAAGCACGAGGAGGAGGAGGAGAGCAGCGACGGTGAGGGTAGAAAGGCCGTTGCATCGGGCGGCGAGGAGGCGCAGCCGGAAGGGAAGAAGAAGAAGCGTTCCGGGTTCAGGGACCGTAAGGTACCAAACTTGGATGTGCTGCACCTGCAGCTGTTGCACTGCAGCAAGAAAGCAGAACACTCGCGGAACATTTTGTTCAGTTTGTGGTGCAGCGCATGCGTAGAGTCTGGCTTTTGCTCTGTATTTGTCTTTGTTTTCTGAAAGACCTTCCTCTTTTGGGAACCTACTTTCTTGGCGTGCCACCGTGAATTTTTCAGTTGAAACTTGTCTGTTTGGAAAGCACAGTGCACTGATGCTCTGAAATGGGCACCTCTTTTCACATCTCCGCTTGGATGTCGGAGAAGTGGCTCACTGAGAAATCAAGGCTCCTGCCTTGATGATGATGAGGGTGGTGCGTGCAAAGTTAAAGAATCAGTGCAAAAACTTTAAACCATCTAGGGCATCCATTATGTGTGTCTCTGAGTCCATCCATTTGCCCATGAACGTACACAGTGTGTGTAGGAAGAAGTAGAGGTTTATAGGAAAGGCATACTTTAATTTTCCTTTTAATTATTCCATGTAAATATAGTTATTGACATACAGCCTCACTTCCTATTCGTCGTCATGTCTCCCTCTTAGTGCTTATGCCTATTTCATTTTCATACTGGACACGTTTTCAAGAGGAGCAAGGCTTGAGTAATGAAGTATACTGTCAACTTGTGACCTGCCTTGGCTGGTGGGCCCTCCTGAGAGCTTTGGGCTCATCAGAGCTGTCTGACGACTAGTTTGGTACTATCTGTAACCACTGGTGTTACAAGATGTACGATTTGGTCTGATGGAGAGTCCTGTAACTGAGAGCTGGCAGACAGCAGTATTTTATTTTGTAAAGCTGTCTAGATGCTGGTTTTATTGGGCTGTGTTTGATGATTTAATATCTTTGCAGTGCCAAAGAGGAGAACGGGAGTATATGCTCTTCACAATTCCTTTCTGTATGATTTGCTTCTGATAATTATATTTTAAGTCTGTATCCTGGAGGCTGCATCTCATTAGCTGTTAAATTGTGGATGGTCGTATATAGTGGCTTAACAGCTTTTCATAAAAAATTAAGAGATGTTTCTTTTGAAGTTGCTGAATCATATTCTGTTCTTCGTTAGAGTAGATTACACAACTTGAAATTGCAAGTGCCTTGTGGTGTTTGGGGCTCCCGACTCTCTTGTTGTGACATGCTGGTGGCAGCTCAGTGAAGTTACGTTGTAAGATACTACGCTGAGATATTCAGAATTGTCCTGGAACGTGGATTCTTGGCATCTGCTTATTTGCTTGGCAACTGGGTGTCAGGTACTGACTGCTTCAGCAGAACTTCAACTTTTGCCAGTACCACTCCAGAAAAGGGGGTTATTTCTTCCAGTATCAGCAGATAGAGGCAGGTTGCAAAGAGCAGAGAAATGATCCACCTTCATCCACACTCTTAATTTTACAAAAAGAACATTTGTTGATGCAGCGAATGCAATGATTGATTTTTATTTTTTTTTTGTCTTACGTGGCTGGTTGCTTCTGGCTAGGGAAGCCAGAGATCAGTTGTTTGGAAGTGGGGACTTTTATCCCAGTTGTTAGGAGATGTGCCTACATTGACCAGCTCTTTCCTTCCCATACTAGGCAGGGAGGAACGTGGCCATACTTTCCAAATAAGATGTGAGCCAGGCGTGGAGGGGTGCCCAAGAGATCCGGTGGGAACGATGTGCAGCCTGGATCCCTTCTCAATCCACAGCCTGCCTTCCTTCTACAGCGCTCAACTCGGGAGCAGCGATTTCAGCAGGGAGAGCACTGTTTAAAACAGACCTCGCAACCTTTTTGCTGACATAAGCCCTTTTCTCTCCAGCCTTGAGACAGAATGTACCTTCTGTGACCTGAATGCTGGCGTTGCTTTTGCTTCATTTAATGCAGGATGTAGCTGGCAGTCTCCTAGGTGCCGGGTTCCGTGTTTATGTTTGAGCAGCTCCGTTGTGGGCTCGGTGTTTGATCAGCAGTTGACCTAGTGAGTCATCTCAGAAGGTATGTTTGAATGTTTCCAGCTCAGATAACAGAGGAAGGTGTGCCCCAGCTCCCGACTCAAAATCAGGGCTGCTCCCAGGATGTCCTGCTCCCCTAATCAGTTGTGTAGCGCCGAGGGAATTCCTGTCTCTCCTATATGTTTTAAATTAAAACAACAAAACCCACGGCAAAAACCCTTTCCAGCTCTTCCTATAATGAATTGAAAATAGTGTGGCGTTTTCCTTGAGAGAAAAAAAATTAAACTTAATTGAAAGTGTTTAACACTTGTTTGTTACCCTGATGTTGCTTTTAATGAAGTTGGTGATTAGTGGTGAAATAATAAATTAGACATGACAGTGCTATTTTGGGTAGTGATTCAGTGAAGAGGAAGTTGAAACATAAATCACTTGGCATCTGCCAGGCCTGGGATCGTGTGTGGCTGGTTCCAGGGCACGCGTTGTCTTGCAGCCTATGCAATCTATAGGTCCTGACTGCATAAGGGAGGAAAGGAGAAGATTGTTTGAGTGCTTTTACAGTTTGAAGGCTAATGAGCGATAATACATGATGTGGGTGGGCTGATGTGTTAATTAATTTGCTAAAAGAGTTTGCATGCAGCATTAGGACTGCTCTATCGAGATCCACTTGCAGTGTGTGCTGCATCCTGCAGGTGTGCTGCCTTAGGAGCATTAGTCGTGCTGAGACTTCATTTTAATGCGTGTTCAGTAGGAAACCCAAAGAAAATGAATCTTAATTAATTTACCCTGCTAAGATGTGTGCGGTGGAGCTGGGCTGCCAGAGTTCCTGTTCAGCCACACGATCAGGGAGGCCCCAGTGATGCTCTGGAATTGAATTGAAATGTTAATTTAGAGCTTTGTTTTCATGTCTGCACAGGATTTAATTTTTTTTCCTTTTAACCTGAGACTTAGCATAAACATTGACTGTCTCAACAGCAGCTTCGCTCTTGTAGAGCAACAGGGATTACTTGCTCATCTTTCTCCTCCAGTACCTCCTCTATTAATAAATCCCAAAAAGGGACTCTTCCCTTTTGGTCACATAATGTCTTTCTGGAGGCCCCTGATTACATGAGGCAGCAGTTCTGGGGACAGAATGAGAGTTTTTGGCTGGTGTCCACTGCATCAAGGACTGGTGCATGCTGGGGGAAGGCAGCTGCCTGGGTGCATGCTTTGCCAGGAAAGTATTTTGGAGTATTTCATAGGCAAGAGGTCGTGGGAGGGAGGGAGTTGTCTGGGATGATTTTATGTCCAGATTGTTTAGAAGTAGTGTAAAAAAAAAAAAAAAACAAACCCCCCAAAAAAAACCCAAAAACACTGACAAGGGGTGGTGTGTACACCTGAATACACACACACACACTCTTTTAATCTCCACATTTGTATATTGAGATCAGGGCACCTATGTTATCACTCACTTTGTGTATAGCACCCAGTCTTAAATAAGTGTTTACAGGGTCTTGGCTGTTCCTTTCTTGACCTGGCTTCGTGTTCAATCCAGCCTGGAAGTCAGAGGGATGGGTTGTAGCATATTTGTTAGTTTTTGCCAGCTGATTAGATCATGTTAGCAAAAATGAGGTAATTGTGAGTTCAGCTGCGGGCGAAAGGGAAGGAGTGTTGCTGGGTTTGCTCACTTCTCCTAGGGAGGTTTGAGGAAGAAGTGTGATTTCGGTTGTGATAATAACAGCTTGTGAGATACTAAACAGGCATTTTTAGATTCTACTTCTTTGGTCTAGATTGAGAGTTATTCAAGACTGTTGCTCCTCATAATGTTTTAGTAATATGTTTGTCCTGAAAATTGTGGGTTTGTGTATGTCACAGTGAATTGCTGGAACTCAAAAGGATGCAAATAATAAAAATTTTTAAAAATTGGAGAGGGACTTTTTACAACGGCATATAGTGACAAGACAAGGGGCAATGGCTTTAAAGTGAAAGAGGGGAGATTTTGATGAGATCTAAGGAAGAAATTTTGTACATTAAGAGTGGTGAGGCACTGGAACAGGTTGCCCAGAGAAGCTGTGGCTGCCCCATCCCAGGAAGTGTTCAAGGCCAGGTTGGATGAGGCTTTAGGCAACCTGGTGTAGTGCAGGGTGTCCCTGCCCATGACAGGGGGGTTGGAACTAGATGATCTTTGAGGTTCCTTCCAACCCAAACCATTCTATGAATTAAAACTAACAGTAGCTTCCCGTGAAACTTTGAGCAACTGCACATAATCACGTTCCCTTCTAGATCTGAAACTCAAATTGCTTAACAGGTAACATCCGTTTTTCATACTGCAGTGGGCTTAGAGGGGCTGCTTTGAGCTTGCATGGAGATGCTAGGTCAGCTCAGCTCTCTTTGACCAAATGTAGCAAACTTTGCATTGGAAGATGATGGTCATTAAGAATCCTTAATTTCCTTTTTTGCTGTCTGATGCTGCCCTGGGACCTAATCCAAAATGGGATGGTCACTTCCCCACCTGCTGCACGCTTAGGTCCTATTTTTTAAGGGCATTCAGCTGCTTTTGTTGGAGGAGAGGAAGCCCCAAACCACTCTGATATTTCTCATGAAACCATAGACTGCATAGGGACAAACCTCGGGGTTTGCAGACCTGCCTGGGGTGGTTGTGCTGCATGCTGAGACACGAGACCTTTTTTAGCCTGTGTCATTAGTAGGCTTTTAGGAGCCACGCCACATCATTTTGGGAGCCACACGTGGCTTTTGAGCAAGAGACTGACCCACCCTGCTTCACAGCTGCATGTTCAAAATTGCATCCTTACGAGTGACTGGCAGTCATCCATGGAAGTTTTTCATTTGCGGTACGTGTGGATGGAAGATGGGATGGCAAATGATCTAGGAAAGGGCCACGTGGTCAATGGACACTTCGCTTCTGTTGCAAGTGATGATTGTGGTGGACTTGAAGGTGCGACATGGATCTGAGTGGGATTTTGGAGAATCACTGTGCCCAAAGCTGAAGCAGAAGGTAGGCTTCTTAAATCAATAAAGCAGGGGCCTTGAGGATCACCCCGAGCTTGGGAGAAGAAAAAATTGGCAGTCAAGTTGCTGGACTGGTAAGGAGGAGTCTTGGCAAAGATGTCAGGTGATGAACAACGGCAATACCTACTTCCAAAAGTGAGAAGAAAAGTATCTGACAGCAACAGGCCTGTCAGTAGCACCTTAGTAAAGATCTTAGACACAGAGGAAAGATCCAGAACAGATGCAAAGTCAAATGGGCTGCAACATGTTTTTTCTGGCAGAAATGTCAAGACTGATGTCTCTGGTGCAGCAGTGGAGTTGTTGAGTAGAAGAGGTGCAGCTTAACTAGCTGGGTTGAAGCAAAGCACTTGATAGTGCCTTGCAAGAAATTATTCCACCGTCTTGGAAAATCAGGTGTAAGTGAAGTCTCAGGCAGACAAGTGTTTTAGCTGGAAAGCAGGCTGTGTCGAAAGGGTGTCATGGCTGGAGGGAACTGTTGGTTCCTCCAACCAAGACTCCTGGTTGGAGAGGAGACTCGTGCAGCTTTGCAGCTGGAAAGAGCTAGGAAAAAGCCCATGTTGTCGTTTACTGTTGCTGTTCAGCTGGTAGGTGTTGACTTGTAACTTTGCAATAAAACGATTGCTCTTGATCCAATGCCCTTATCTTTGGAGGACCTTGTCGACCGAAGCAGTAAAAATGGGATGAAGTTTGATTCTAGGAGCAAAGGCTAGTAACAAAAGGGAGCAGTGACAAAAATTTTCTCCCTATTTCTTCTTCCTACGGGGTTGTTTTGGTTGATGCAAGGACATTTGTGCGTTCCTGGTGGGCTTGATTATAAAAAAAGCTATGGTGATGCAAAGAAGAGTAGGGAGAATGCTTTAGATAGTGTCAAAGCCATATCAGCAGGACATTCTGCTGCGTGTTGCTTGTTCCCTGGTTGCATTTTCTGGAGAGCTGAGCTGGAACAAGTGCACATGAGAGAGGCTCTGCTTTCCTCAGCTACTCTACCCAAGCTTGCACTGAGGGATTAAAAGCCTTTGGCGTGTTTTATCCTAGAAATATGAAAAATTAAGGTGTTTTCTTTCTGATAAACATCGGAGTAGAGAACTTGTTCGAGGACAACAGTTGTAAAGGACAAGGCTGAAACAGGACCAGAGCCATAAATCATCTACAGATGCCTTGGCAGTACCCTTGATCTTGCATGTTCTCTTCGAGCAGACCATTGGTTGTGAGTTTTTTTTCCTCCTGTGGCCCTTGGCCAAAAATACTGAAGGTTTCAAGTACATTATGGACTGTTAAACATGGTGTATAATGCCGGAATAAAAAGCTGAACTCAGAAGGAAAGTTTTCTGCTCCAATGCATAATGAAGTGTAGGTCTCTGTGCCTTTTTCCTCCCTTGTGGACTTATGTTGTGATTTTGTTTATAAAAGATTTCTGTTTTCTTTGATTAATTCCTGGTGTGTGTTGGGGAAGAAACAGTTCCAGGTACAAATTAATGGCCACTGGCGGAGTTAGCTTGTGACAGATTGGTGGGGAGAAGAGGACTGAGTGAAGAAAGTTTCTGCAGAATTTTGCCAATGTGATAAAAGAGAGGAAAAAATGACGTTGGGTGACTGAGCAGCCAGCTGTGCCTCCAAGTAGTTTTTTCCAAGACTCAGCTTGAAAGTAAAGGTCTCTCCCAACTGTCCAAGGCTTTTCTTTTACTTCATTTATTAATCATAAATCAACACTGTGGTTAAAATGCTGAGCTGCTTTAGATCCACAAATGTGACACTAGTGCTTTTTCATGTTTGTGTTTAAGAGCACCTTCAGGGGTTTTCTTAATTTGTTTTTTCACTGCCAATCATGAAGAGTCAAAACTTATCAATAGTAAAGACTCTTTGTGTTTGTTCTTAATCCTGAGACATCAGGAGCTGATACTTCCAATTTCCCTAGTAGTTCAAAGGCTGAGGATAGGAGGGATTTTGACCCTTTCAGCGTTATTTTTTTCAAGTGTTGTGTTGCTGCACACAACTTTGTTGCAATGTGGCAAAACCTTCACAGGAATAAGGGTAGACGTTGGGGGCGGAACCTTATGCATCTAATGCTGGTTAAATTTCATTTCCAGGTGATGGAATATGAGAACAGGATCAGAGCCTACTCCACGCCGGACAAAATCTTCAGATACTTCGCCACTTTGAAAGTTATAAACGAGCACGGTGAATCGGAGGTTTTCATGACACCACAGGATTTTGTGAGATCGATAACCCCTAATGAAAAGCAACCGGAAAGTAAGTGATTTGGCCAAAAAGGCCAATGGGATACTGGCGTGTATCAAGAATAGTGTGACCAGCAGGAGCAGGGAAGTGATCCTGCCCCTGTACTCGGCACTGGTGAGGCTGCACCTGGAATATTGTGCCCAGTTTTGGGCCCCTCGCTTTAAGAGAGATATTGAGCTCCTGGAGCGGGTCCAAAGAAGGGCAACTAAACTGGTCAAGGGTCTGGAAAATAAAACTTATGAGGAGCGGCTGAGGGAGTTGGGGCTGTTTAGCCTGGAGAAGAGGAGGCTGAGGGGAGACCTGATTACAGCCTACAAATACTTGAGAAAAGATGGTGGGGAGGTAGGGGAAGGGCTCTTTACATTAGTGTTGGGTGATAGAACAAGAGGAAATGGATATAAGCTTAGTCAGGGGAGATTCAGGTTGGATGTTAGGAAGTATTTCTTCTCTGAAAGGGTTGTCAGCCACTGGAATAGGCTACCCGGGGAGGTGGTTGAGTCCCCATCCCTGGATGTGTTTAAGAATAGGGTGGATGATCTACTTGAGGATATGGTTTAATGGGGATTAGGGATGGTTGGACTCGATGATCTCTGCGGTCTTTTCCAACCTAGAAATCTATGAATCTGTGAATCTATGATGTGTGTGTTGTAATTGGAGGAACTACTACAGCAAATGGGAATAAACTCTCCAATCTCTGCTTGCCTGATCTTTATATTTCCCATCAAACAATTGCCTTGTTGGGTGTTGTCTGTCTCGTTACGTTGGGAGGTACAGCACGAAGGGAGAGTTGCTGCCACAGTGGAAAGAAAAAAAAAATAAGTGATGTTCTCAACCCGTGTGTTATGGCAATGCGACGATGTGCAGAAGGATAACGGGGGTATGAGGAATGCAGGAGCGAGGCAGAAAGCTCCCAGCGCAGCCGTGCAGAAGCCACGCTCGTCTCTCCAGCAGATCCCGCAGCGTGTCCGTGCCGGCTGGCACCCGGCTGACTGGCAGCAGCGCTGCCAAATAACGGTGATAGTTCAGGTTCAGAAGCGTTGTGGTATGCTGCTTGAGAGCTTGGAACCTGCGATTGGTAGGGCTAGGAAGTGCCTCCTGAAGCTTTGTTCCATCTCCATGCTCCAACCCCAAAATTAGCCTGATCCCTTCTGTGTTGCCTGAAGTGCTATTGTAGCATAGTAGGTCTTGTTGGTGTGAGCCCTCAAGGAGCAGATGAGGTGACTTTCTTGCATATTTAATAGTGAAAGATAACCTTCAACTGAAACTTTTTAAGAGCTATTCAAAAACCTACAAAAGGAGGTTGCTTTGGCAAGGAAAACCTTAGAAATAAAGGAGTCCAGGCAGCCCCACGTGCCTGGCTGAGCTGTGATGCTGCTGGCCAGGATGGGACTCATCTCTTCTGGCTTCAGATTCTCTGCAGATTGCAAGGAAGCACATCAGCTGTGGTACCTGTCAGGGTTTGGCAGGCAACAGGTGGGAGAGCAGACGCCGTGTTTTCTGGAAAGCTGTGTCCTGAGCATTTGGTAAGAGGTTGGGTTTTGTGGGATGGCAGGAGATTTTGCCTGTGTCTGTTTTGGAGGAGATTGGTGTTTTGGGTGAGAAGTGGGAAATCAGGTTTCTTGATCTCCTGCTGTGCATCTCAAGGAATGAAAGAGGCTTTTGTCAAAACTCCTCTTCTCTCTGCAGGCATTAATAAAGAACCTCAGCCTGCAAATGTTAACTTTTTGAGAGCGAGGTTTCTGTATGAACTATGAAACAGTTTTGATGTCTTAAGTGACAGCCGCTAAATAAATACCGTGTACACTTGTGTTTAGAAAACAACAATGTGAAGCGAGTGCAGGAGGGAATTAAAAATAATCCTGGCATTAGTGTTAAAAGCATGTTGGTGAATTGATATTTGGGTTTTGATCAAGTTCTGAAAATGGCCGTAGTTTTCATATGAATTACGTGGTTCCATAGTCAGTGAAGAAATAGTTTGAGCAATAAACAGAAGATAATGTTCATAGATGCTGAAATTGTGTGTTACCATCTCACCTATCTAAAGCTCCTTGAATTGGTAATTTGGAAAGCAGTAGGACCTGGTTGAGTGTGAGTCTTTAAATCAACCAGATTAAAAAATAGAAAACATCTTATGTTTAATTTCAGCACATCTGATTCTCACTTCTTCCATGCAATGCATGTGCCTGGTGTGTTTTAAACTGTGCGCAGAAAATAGGTGGAAGAGCGCTCAGAAAACCCCTACTTTGGAGACAAGTGAAGGTGACTAATGGGAAATAATTTGTCAGTCTTAGCCACTAACTTTCCACTGTAACTATTATTATCCTGGCTAGGTGAGCAGTTTAAATGGCCCTGTGAAGCCTGTCATGCCTTTAAGTGCCTGCAAATGCTGCCAGTCAGTGACACAAAGCAGCCTATAAGGGAAGAAAATTACCTTAGTGATAACGTACAGGTGCTCTGGGAAAGTGGAATGGGATGGAAATTGAGTTTTGGCTGCCCGTCAGCAGGCAAAGCAGGAGCATGGGCATCTGATAGCTTGTTGGTTTGAAAAATCTATCTTGAGGAACGTTACTGTCATGGACTTGCTTCTAGACAAAGCTGCTGCTGGGATGGTTGTTCCGTACAAGTGCTGTACATCCCGACAATCCCTGTAAATGCTTTTTTAATACATAATGAACAGTAGAACAGTAAAACATTTAATGCTACAGTAAAGTCAAACCAGCCATAACTTTGTTCCCAAACGTTTTAAAAGCTGCTAGTAAAAAAGAAAGAAAAAAAAAAAAGATAGATAGGTCTGATTTTAAAATCAGAAGTTGAAGTCAAAGACTGCTACCTGCTGGTTTGTTTCTGTACTTTACATCCATTTGGTACTTCTGACTCATAGGATAATCTAGATTATACATTAGTAGGGAAATGCCAGGGATTCTTTCTCCCTTAGTCACGACACGGGTGTGCCCTCCACCAGAGCTGGAACATCCTGCCTTCGTCCCACGGAGCTTCTTTGGGTTGTGACATAGCCCCGAGTGCTCCTTGGAAATCTTCTTCAGGTAGTGATGTAGCCCACTGTAATCATACATGTTTAAACTGAATTGAAAGTTATTTTCTACAGTCCCACTGACCCCGAGGTTTTCCATGAGTGGCGTTTGTGTGGCAAAGTAATCACCTTCTAGTCCTGTGAATTAATATGGTCCTGTGTAAGCGGTCCAAGATATGAGCAAGGCAGGGGATGCTCTGAATGCTCAAGATGCTGGTCGTAATTTCAGTGAGTAACTTGTTGATGTGTCTGCCATTTTATGGAGAGAAAATAGTGTGGAATATAAGTGATACGGAGTAATGAGGATCTAAGTCCCCGTTGTGTTTATTTTTAAACCACTAATCTACTGCGAGATATCATATACTTGATTCATTTTTATGGGTGACATAAGGGAAAGTTTGATTTATTGTCAATAAAGCGTCAGCTGAATTCTAGACTGCGTTTTGCTAGCTTGGGGAAAATGAATGCCAATTCATTAGCTCCAGAAGATTGCTTTCTCTTAATAGTTCAGTAAAACTTTCTGCTGTAGCTTTCTCAAGCAGGCAAACTGTGCTTAAGTTGTGACACGCTCTTGCTGAGCTTGGAAATGTGTGTCAGAATAAGCCAAAGAATGGCATTAAACTTGGAAGCTGCTTTAAAAATAAAATTAAATACGTTTCTTTATATGCTATCTGGAAAGTCCAAGTGCCAAGAGAAGCGTGGGCAGTGATATCTGCTCCCTGCAGTCCTGTGGTGTGTTTTCCTCCCACCTCCTCTGGTACCCAAGAGGTAGCTCGTCTCCAAGGCTGGATGAGCAGGGATGGTTGCTTTATACCTGGTGCTCGCTTAGTACCCTAGCCCAAAACCAGCTGAAAATACTGCCTCTCAGTCACTGGTGGGAAGGGTAAGGATTTGCAAAAACCCCGTTTTTAGATGTTGCAGCAATTTGAGGCAGCATGGACTTTTGCTGAAAGAGGTGTATGTAGCCACGACACTTCACAGGAGCTGTAACCATGCCTGGTACTCACAGGTCGCTGATGCTGCGTTCTCTGTAGCCCTACGTAGCTGTTGGCCTACCTGGATGTTTCCAAGTGCTTGGACCTGCCAAGTCATCCTCCATTTCCCCAAGTTTCTCTGTTTCTTTTCTGCACTCGTTGTTTTCCTGGGGGAAACAAGTACTTTGGGGCATCCTGGACTAAAAAAGAGCTGTGGCATATTAAGCCAGCACCAGGGTTTTTTGGAGCCGTTATAGTGAGGATAAAAAGAAGTAACAAAAAAAAAAAGGCTTCATATCTCATTGCAGCACACTGTAACGAAGACCGATTATACCCAAAAACCGATCTTGCTCTTCAATCCCCGTGTTAACCTCCCTGGTTAACCCAAACTCCTGCCACATAAAAGATGCCTTTCAAGATCCACCATGCTCTGCAGCAGCCCAAATAGCTGAAGTCTTGGAAATGCACTGGAAGTTTTTTTTTTTAATTTTTGTCTGCAAGAAACAGTGAACGTGGTGTCGAAGCTCAGCCAAAAGCAGCAGCTGTGCCCTTGCAGCCCCTGCTCGCAGGACAGTGTCGGAGAGGAGCTGTGAAAGACGGAGCCGATGTCTGGTGACTTGATCAGACCATATAGCTTGATTCCTGGTTTTTAAAGGTTGGAGGTTTTTATATCTGGACTTTATGAGCAGCTGGGTTCTGGATTGTTGCAATGCTTGAGTGATTATTTGTTATTTTGAGCTAAGTTTACAAAATGTGGATCTGATCTTCTGTAGAACCAGCAATCATGAGCTGTGATAAATGGGAGCGGAGTAGTTAGTTGGACAAAGTAGTTCTGGACTTTAACACAAACCTGAGAGTGTTATCCCTTGAGAAATCTCGGGCAGCTCACTGTTTGCCTGCAGATTACATTTTGAATTCAGGGGAAAATACTCACACGGAAATCAGAAGCTGGGTTACAGCTCTAGAGGGGAAAACTTGGTCCAGCGTTTTCTCCTCCTGTGATGTAGCTTGTTGCATGCGTGGTTAGCAGGCTCTTCAGTCTTGGTAATTAGCCCTTTTTGCTCATCTACTTGAAAGAAAGAGTCCTTGTTTTATATCAAGGAATGGGAAAGGAAAAGCAGGTGGTGAGTAAATGTCACCCAAATAATGTGAAAAATCTGACAAGGATAAAAAGACTAGAAGGAGTTGAAAAGGTTTTTCCATCAGCTGAAAACTGCTGACACCCCAGAAGAAATCATGATGGTTTCTAATTGATCTCAGCTGTGGTGTTGGCATAATATAATTGTTCTTCTGGAAGTCGGTTTGTTAAATATTTTTTTTAAACTGCCATTTTTCATCTGCTGCCCATGGCTTTTTTTTTCCACAGGGTAACATGAAGAGCTTAGTAATTGTTTAGCTATTTATCAAGTGTGGTAATTAGCTAGTTTTGAGTGAATCTGTGGCATGTATGTTTTTCTTAATAGAAATATGATAAGTGTTTGACTTTAAATTTGATTAGAGCTGAACAAGAGTAACAGCAGGTTATTCTGTGTTTTTTTCCCTTTACGTAAATTATCCCTTCTCCATTAGAACATCCTCCCCAGCCCAAAAAGAAAAACACAGAGAATATTTTTCTCCTGTTGAACACCCTTTTTCCCTGTTGTGGCAGACACTGAATGTAAGTCACTTTGAAATATTTTTAATTTTAGAGTGCTGTGAAAGTACCATCACATGGGTAAGAGTGGGGGCCTTTATTCTTATCTGAAATAACACTTACAGTGATGCCACTTGCTTAGCTACTCCACAGCCGTGCTGCTGTTTCTTTGGATCCTCTGATGGTATCAGAATTTGTAGGAGTAATACATAGTGGTACTTGAAGATGAGAAGCAAGCTGGCTACGGCAAGCACATTTGGAAATGGTTGCAGGTCGCCATCGGTGCTGCTAAAAGTGAGTGGCTGGTGCAGAACCCTTGGCTGGGGGAGCAAGAGAGGCTTTGATAATTCAGGTGTGTAGTGAAAGGTGAGATGTACAGTGTTTCATGTAGATAAAAGGCATATTCTGGGGCTGGTCGTGGCAAAAGCTCTGGATTTGTTTGTGCAGAAACAAGCACCGAAGCCCAGCTGCTCTGGGTGGTCGCTGGGCAATCTGGAGTCGTGCCGCCTTTGGTCCCAGGGAAGCTTTGTAAAGCAGCCAGGTATCCTCCTGGAACAATTTCTGGATTTCATCGCTGTCTCTCTTGGAGGAAATCCTTTACTCCGTGTCTGGGAGAACAGTATTTCAGCCCCTGCTTTTCAGTGAAAGGTGGAAAAGATTTATTTTTTTTTTTACTGCTAAACGTGCCTATTAGCTTGTGTTCCTGCAGCTCGTCGGCAATAGCCCAGCCAGGGAATATTTGTTTTATGAGTGTATCACTTACAGACGATCCTGCCGTAGCTTGAAGTTCACACAGTGCTTTTTGAATAAGAGATGTAATAACTGACATTGTTTCCTTTCCCTGTTCAGATGTGATTGTCCTTATTCATACAGTGTTTCCATTAGCTCTCCAGCCTACAGGAACGCTGAATTCCTATTGTAATGTCTTGGAGGAAAAGCCTTTTGAGTTTTTTATGTAATATAAAGAAAGAAGAACACAGGCATCAGGCAATGGTTCCTCTTGGCTTCCTTTTGTCAACTTCTAAGATTAAAGACTTGCCCAGTCTTTATGGACTAGCTAAGTCCATAAAAAGAAGTATGTTGGAAAAACGAAGATGTATCAAGTAAAACTGTATGCCTCGAACATATAAATGCCCTTTTTCAGGTTTTGAATTAGATTATTCTGTCTGGAGGTATTGTAAGGGGAATTTTACAAAGGGACTTAAGCATACAGCTTCGTTAATGCAGCAGAGGAGATACCGTGGTGCACGGCTGGCAGAAAGGGTGAGCATAACACACTGATGTGAACCAATATGCTTGTGCTTGCGATAGGTAGCGCTGCCTTCCGGGGCATTGACCAGATACAATGACCTTAAAAAAGGCGGCAGCACAAGTGACACATTTTTGTGCTGCACTTTCATCTAAATGTCTCACTGTGATCTCAGAGACAGGCACGAACCACGGTTGTATATGTGCCTCGTGTCAGATGGGGTGTGTCAGAGGAGGCTGACATGATCTAGGTGATGATAACTAAATTTCTGTAACTGCTCTGGTGTTATAAGCGTTTTCTTGGCAAATAATGAAATGCTCAAAGCTCTTAAGCTCGAGGACAGACCTGGCAGCTCCTACACCTGGCATGAGGGTTTGGATGCAGTTACAGAAAAGCCATATGTAAGTCAAGGTCCATCGCTCTGTCCTTCGCAGGAATGGTCTCGAGTTACCCAAATGCTTTGTTTTTCTGTGTCTTTTCCTTGAATGCCACAGCAATTGAGGAAACACATGGAAACAAACATCTCTGTGCTTAGGTGAATGAGGCTGGACCAACCCCAGTCTGGAGGCAAACTATTCTGTATTCAAAATTCCTGATTACACCAGCGTGTTTTGCTTTTGCTGACTCCATCATTATTGTAATTTATTGCCATTAAACTCTTGAGGTGCTTTTTTATTCCCTCCAGTCATACTCCCCCGTCGCCTTCCCTTTTGCCCACCTCATGTGACATCTGTGGCGAGCACAGAGTTCATAATACGAGCCTTTTCCTTTAGCATAAGTAGTTGTATTCTGCCTTTTTAGGTGTCATTTGGCTGTTTTTAATAACTTTTTAATGTACATACAGTCCTGTATATTTATTATTCTTTATTATGCATTATAAAAATATTTTAGTATTATATGTTATATAAATATTTAGAACTATCTATGATACTTATTTTATATAGGTATAAAACAAACCGGTTGTTAGTTCATCTTTTCCTCCTGTTCATCTACACGAGCATCTTGTTCGTTTTGGGTCTCTTTTGAAACCTGTTTGCTTTCCCAGCA